GCGGTTCGGGCACACCCCTTCGGCCAAAATGCTGCTTTTCGCCGTTGCATCTCCTGCCTTTTTCTGTTTTCCTCCCTTTTTTGGGCCATTAGTCACCTTCGGCTCGCAGCCTGCCGGCCGGCCCCGCCATGGCCCCGCCCCCCGACGAGGTGACGCCGCGACGCGGACTCGGACGCACTCACCCCTTGCCCGCCAGCCCCGCCACCTTGGCTCAACCGCCGCTCCACCACAGCCACCCCTGGTCCCCTCCAAGGAGCGTCAGCATATTTCTTGTCACCGATTGTCAACACAAACATGCAAAGAACAAAGCGGTCTGGAGTGTCCCCCGGCATTGCCGGCGTGGATGGCGTTGCCCGGCCGCGCCGCGGACTGACGCGTACATCAACTCCTCACCGACAGATATTACGGTACGTGCCAAAATTTACGTACATCTCCCCCTGCGGCACCCCTCGTGCTGCACCGCGCTGCAGCCTGTCGATGGCTGGGGAGAGACTTCGAGTGGCGCGGCACCGCGGCGGTGTCACCGACAGCCGGCAGGGACGTTCATCCCGTGATTGGGCGACCTGGACCACGACCTGCTACTGGGCTGCAGGCCGCCCGGGGCGACCAGGCGGCGTGGCGGCGTGGCGGGCTTGGCCACTGGTAATGATAGGCCAGCCTCTAGAGCGTGCCTGCCTGACCGCCGCGGGCCGAAGCGCCAGCGAGCGCCAGTCGCCACCCAGTGTTCGGGGTTACCTCCTCTATGCGTAATCGTTGCTGGCGAAGCGTCAGCTAGAGTCACGGCACGACGAATCAAAATCTGCCTCAAAGGCCCCAGCCGGCCGCGCAACAACGTCAGCGAGTCAGTCGCTGGATTCATTAACCCGCCCTTTGTTTGAGGCTCCTTAAATTTCCGGCGCAGGCCCCGCAGGCCCGTCCCGGCTTGGCCGCCAAGTCGCGACCGAAATCCTCGGTCCGCTCCATTCGAGGCCGGGTTAAAGAGCCGCCCGAAGAGCACCCAACTCCAAATTGTTCACGGTCTTCAAATGGCCGTGATGTCTGGTTGACGCCGGGTGAAGACTCCGCCGGGAGCGACAGCGCGGCAGCGGCCCGGCGGCTGAGCGACTTTCTGAATTAAACACTGCGTCGTGTCTCTTTCTCCCCTTTAGTGACGCTCATCACGCGTCCCCTCGCTGTCATGCATCCGGCGTTCAAAAAGTAACTCCCAAATCGAAAACTACATTGGCGATACAAACTCTCGACTGTGATGCTCGCTTTTTAAAGCGCAGGTTTGAGTCCGACGCTGGTCAAGACGGTTCAGCTCTTTCTTGGACGGTTTCGATTGCATCCGTTTTCCAACGTCTCTCAAAGGCCGCGATGATTAAAACGGCATCAAAACGGATTTTTCCCTTACTTTTAACGGTAGGTAAAAAGTCGTTTCAGGTTTAATTCGGGCTTGATGGAAAAAAAGGCAGCAGAAAAAATCGAGCTTGAAAGGTGCGGCGCGCATCGCGCCCATGGCGTCGCCAGCGCCGCGCTTTTATGGCACACTGATCAAGGTTTATGGCGACTTGATTCAAAAGGCGCAGCGTGCGCAGCCACTAGCAAATTATCGCAGCGACCTGCACGTGCTGGGGAGTGTAACTCTTTGGCACTTGCGGCAGATGGCGTCCGAGCGACGCGCGGCGACACGGACACACACACGACTTTGATTGGGAGTTACGAGCGGCCGATTAATTGGGACCGTTAATCCTCATTAGGCCTCGGCTAGTTTTGGCGGCATTCGACTCGTGCTCCTCGTTAGGCCCATTGAATAAAACATTTTATTTGGCCGCGTCGCCGCCTCGACGCTTCGACGTCCTCCAGATTAAATTGTGGGTCCTGCGACACTTTCGGCGCGGAGAGTGGACAGCCCGGCTGGCTGGGCTGCCAGCCTCCGGTCCCTCCCGTCCCCTTCACTGCCGCCAGTTGGAGGGGCGGGGAAAGGCATGCGGGCCAGCTCTCATTGAAATTAATTGTAAGTGTACTGCCGGGCTGCCCGGCGATGGCGCAGGCGATGCTGGTACTGCCCTCCTCGAACTGTCTCTGAGAGCCTCGCTGGACGCGCCGACGCGGCGGACGTCCCCATGCAACCGTCGTCGCGCCGTACTTTGAAGTCGCGAAAACGCCCTCCACTTTTACGAGACTCTGCAGCGTTATTGCGCCGTGTGCAGGCGACTGCGGGGTGGTGGCGTCCCGGAAAGGGTTGCAGGCAGCGCGCCGCCGGCCCCCGGCACAACGCCTGTCACCAACAGGCATAACTCAGGCATTTTATTGCAATTCTTTCGTGTTTATCCCCCGGCCAGCCTTTCGCGATCCGCGAGAAGGGGTTATGTCACCCTCGTATGTTCCACTTGACTTGATAATTCGCGTCTGCCTCATTGAAAATTGGAGCATGTCCCTCCCCTGCGCCTCTGTTTGGCGGCACAACAATGCCACAATGTGACAGGCGGGCCCAGGCTGGGCTTCCCTGCGACTACAGCGACAAAAGGCGCGCCAAGCCGCTTTCGGAAGCTGGGCTTCAAATTTTTGAACTCCCCGATCAGGTGGTGGGAGCGTTCGACAGCAGAGACAATGCAGTGCAATGCAGCCCGTGGCGAATGGGCGATCCTCCCTCCGCTGAGGAGTAACCTCGCTTCACCCCACCTAACGCCCCGCCACGGCCGGCCACGGCATCCAACCCTTTCGCCAGCGCCCTGCCCTCCATTCCACGGCGATTTCGCGTTTACGACTCTCTCGTAAAAACGCCCAGCCCTTCCAGCACTGTTTTCCGGCAACAACCCTTTCGGTCCTCCGAACCGCTGCGCCGCTGCACCACGATTCCGATATTCGGCACATTCGCCACGCCAGTCACTCCCCCGGCCCGACGGACTGACGGCCTCGCGGGCACCGCCTGGCAGCGCGACCGGTGGATCCCACTTCCTGCGACGTGGACCGCGACGCGCTGCTCTGTCGACATGGCTAGGATTGCGTGGCGGCGCGGCGCGCTTTCCTACGTGTCGCAACGGACTGCCTAGGGCTGCCCAGGGCCGCCACCCCCTGCATCTTGATCCCTTTCTTCGGCCGGTGTCACCGTCTTCCTTCTCCTTCCCCTTCTTCTTCTTCTTCGTCTTCTTCTTCTTCTTCTTCTTCTTCTTCTTCTTCTTCTTCTTCTTCTTCTTCTTCCAGTCATTAGCACTACCCCTCCCGATCTGCATCACGCCCGCCCCGTTAGCGCGTCGATAGGTTGATGATTAACGACTCATTCGCGTCCCCGGCCTGCCTGGCGTCCTGGCCTGGTGTCCTGGCTCTGCTAATGGACTGTCGCGTCAAGCAAAGCAAGCGTCTCTTACTGTCTTTTAACGACCTAGCGTCCGGATCGCGAGGAAGTTAGACTTTTTTACAGGCTGGAAACAGCCAATCGTCCTCCAGGCTCCAACAATCTTCTGATATAATTTTGACGTGAGCGTCATACCTGCTAGTTTAGGTAAGATTCTCCAAAGCGCGGCTCGCAGCAGGATCTTTCTTTCAGAAACACTCTGCGTGTGTTTTGATTGGCCAGGTCTCTAAAATGAGACGTACAGCTGTCCATCCAGCTGCAGTGCCGCTGCTGCATGCGTCGCGTGCCTTATGGGGCATGCCGGGCGGTGCAGGGTGGCGCGTCGCGCAACGATTGTCAAAATGAACAGTTGTCAATCCCGACCGGCGTCCCGGGGCGTCGCTGTGCCGCGTCGCTGTGCCGCGTCGCCCTGCCGCGTCGCCGTGCCGCGTCGCGCGGACCAAGTCCAGACAAAGCGCGTCCCGGGACTTTACGAGCGGCGGCTGTCGCCCTGCCGTCGCCCTACCATCGCACCGTTACCTTAGATCTGGAGGGTGGCCTGGCGACGGGGTGCACCCTGCATGCAGCAGGCAGGCAAGGGCGGGCCTAGCGCCCCTCGCCGTCCCCGTCCGTACGGTGGCGGGCCGGTCACGGCCGGTCGCCAAACGGCACGACTGCTCGCCTTGTGTCGTAAGATTTAATGCGAGGCAATATTTTGATTTTCGGCCCGTTTGTATGCAAATTGTGGATTCGGAAAGTGGACTGCTGGGCGACAACGTCAACGCGACTTGTCCATTAGACGGTAGTCACATTATTTTCTTCTTGAAAAAATCTCCGTGTTGTCGTTTTGCATGACGTTTCTGCATTGTGATGTCCCCGCCCCCTGCGTCCCGTTTATTTTATGAACTTACACGTATTGTCACTTTGAGTGAAATTTCAGGGAAATAAATCTTGCATCAAAAGAAGTGCAGTTTCCCCCTGTTTTAGAGGTTATTTCGCACTTTATTGGAGACGGAGCGAGTAATAAAGCCATCCCGGCTGGATGCGTGAAGTGCGTGCTGTTTGCGTGACTCCTCTAAAATAAAAAGTATATTAAGTCAAAATGCACTAAAAAAAACTCTGTTAACCCATGAAGTGTCTCATCTCTTCAGTCCATTTGTGGAGTCCCGTTCGATTGCGTTCCACCCGCAACATGGCATGCGTCGTTCTCACGAAATCACCGTTCATTTGATATTCCGTGCCATATGCACCTCGCACTGCATAATGCATGATTACCATCGCACGCTTGGCGGCGTGCAGCGGTACCGCACTGGCAGGGCAGCAAGCTCCTGGGGTTCGGCTTAGTTTCATTTTTCATGACAACCAAAGCGCTACGTATTTAGTTTCTCATCTTGTGAACAAAATATCGGCTGTCGATTGCTACGCAATCTCACACGGCTTTGCCTTGCAGTGCTCACACTGAAAGCCGTTTGTCTGCAGTGCTCAGAAAGCATTTCCTTTGAATATACCCGTTTGGTTTGAGTTTGAGGTGTTGAATGTCGGACACCCTAATAACCAAATCACAGTCCTCCGCGAATTACCATCCAACAGTACTCTTATTCAAATTAAGTCACTTTCGCGACCCATGCAAATACCGTCTGCGTCTTTAAAAGACGCTGACGCCAGTTGTCAGACATCAGTCATTCCTTAGACCTCGAACGACAAGCTCCTCTGCTAAGCCATGCCTCTCGACAAGGTTCCGCCACCAAGCGGACCGTTCCATCAACGCTTCCAGACAGAAATCGTGTGGCGAAACGTAGCATTTTACCTCGGGCTTCATCTTCTAGCACTTTACGCAGTACTATTGGTCCTTACGTTCCAGGTCAAGTGGCAAACCTGTGTTTTAAGTAAGAAACCGTTTCATTTCAGCATATTCAGGAATGCTCTGTCCTTGTGGGCTAATATGCCTATCACCCCTTTCTGCGCAGGTTATGTTCTCGTAATAGGAACATCACAGGGGATTCTTTCTGGTGTTCATCGGTACTATTCACACAAGTCGTATCAAGCAAGATGGCCGTTACAATTGTTCTTCGTTTTCTGGTTTACGCTTGCATTTCAGGTATGTGCGCTCAACGGAACTATGTTTGTAACTCGACAGTAGATAAGCGTAATTCCAAGTACAAGGAAGCCCACCTATGGTACATCGACCACTTGGTCAGTAGTCGGGTAGTAACTTTAAAAGAGCGCATGTAATAAAAGCCGAAATTCTGTGGATTGTGTAATGGTCTGGTCATAGGTTTTTGGAAGCTGGTGGCAACTACTGTACTAAGGTCGCTTGTGACCCTCGCTCGAAGCCGCGCGGGCCGCTGGACCGGGTGGCGCTGGAGTCGTGCCGTTTAGAGTTCTTAAAATCAAGACAGTTTTAATGCAAACCTTATTTTGACTCAATTATGTGTCGTTTCTGGTAAAAAACATCTTTGAGTCAAAATAAGGTTTGTATTAAAACTGTCTTGATTTTAAGAACTCAAAACGGCGTGACGCCAGCGCCACCCGATCCAGCAGCCCGGGTGGCTGCGAGGATCACCAGCGGCCCAAGTAGTTGCCATCGGCTGTTTTTTGCGTGCATAACTTACCCCCTTAGATTTCCTTCTTTGTGATTGGATATTGGGCTTGTTACAGAATTCCGTTTGGACTTGGGTCAGAGACCACCGCCAGCATCACAAGTACTCGGACACAGACGCAGACCCTCATAATGCGGCGCGAGGGTTCTTCTTCGCTCACATGGGCTGGCTCATGATGCGAAAACATCCAAAAGTATTGGAGAAGGGCGATGAAATTGATCTGACTGATATAGAAAATGATCCACTGGTCATGTTTCAAAAACGGTGCGTTTCCTCACGCAGAAAAAGGATTGGTGGATGGAGCTGTTGCTGGGTTTATTATACTTCTCTTACTGCTAAGCTAAGCTCACTCTAAATACCGTACAGTAAAACGTGATTGTGTAATGTACTAGGTTGTGGTCAGTTAAGTTGGGTACGTGGTATAACCCTGCAGGTACACACTGAAATTCAAATTGAAAAATTCACAAAACTGTTTACTGTCAATACTTTATTGCTTTGTATAACGTTTTTCTTTTATTTACAGATACTACATGCCATTTTACCTCGTGTGCTCTCTTTTAGTAGCGATACTGCTGCCTGTGTATGGATGGGAAGAAACACTGGCAAACGCGTTCTTCGTTCCATTTATTTTGCGCACAGTCATCATTCTTCACCTTACGTGGTTTGTCAACAGCGCAGCGCACTATTTTGGCACTAAACCCTACGACAGGTTAGTTGAGACCTTTTTAAATTTGTGCATTCCTCGCGGTAAAGAGGCGGCCTCATTCCTCTTGGAGTGACACGCAGTAGCCAATTCGCCTTCGACAATATTCAAACAAATAACCCTTTTTATGCTCAAATAGAACGTCACATTTGTTAAATAATTACTTCCGGAAAAAAGAGCTTTCTTTCGGAGCTTCTTAGCGTTAATTTAATATGCAAAAAAGGGCCTTCTTTTCAGAAAAGCTATGTTTATGGCATAATGGACCACTCCTTCATATGGGGGTTTTTGCAAGTGTCTTTCACACTCCATCTTTTCTTTCCTAGGACCTTATGGCCGTCGGAGAACGCGGCGGTGGCAGCTGTTACCTTTGGCGAAGGCTGGCACAACTACCACCACTCGTTCCCTGGGGACTACCGAGGAGCTGACTTCGGATACCGCGACAACACAACGACCTATTTCATCGACTTCCTCTCTCGCATCGGCTTGGCTTATGACCTGAAGACGGTGTCCGACGCGGCTGTGAAGGCGAGAGCCTTGAGGACCGGTGACGGATCCTTTCCTCGTCACCGCTTGGATGAGCAAAGCAATCCCACTGAAGAGAGAGAACAAACCAACAAGAAGTCGACCAACTACTTTTTTGAAAACTTTCTAAAGTTGCGTTAAACTAACATAGCCAAAGAATGATTTTAAAATATCATCCCTTTTATTTAAGATTAAAATATTTTAAGATTTTAAGATCAAAGACACCTTATCGCCTGCTTCTGTGCACTGTGAATTTGAATTGTCTTTCTCATCTGGCCATTCAGGCCAAACAAGCACAGCAACCAGCTAAAATAAAATAACAAGTAAATGAAAAATCGACGGCAGTGCGCTGCAGAAACAACAAAGATCTTCCTTTGTTGACGATAACTTTCTTGAACCCGGGGTATACGGAATGGGTGCGAAGCTGCAAAGATTCCGCCGCTAGCCAGCCCGACAGCTTCCTTCGCTGGTGGGCTGGAGGCGCGCCTCGGCAGGAGGAGGGGGAGGTGAAGGGGGAAGGGACGCCAGCCGACCGTGGCGGGCCGTGGCGGGCCGGCGGGGCGGTGGCGCGTCGCTGCAGGTGCACCCGCCGCCGTGCCGAGCCAGTCAGTGCTCGGGGCGCGCGCTGCCCGCGTGGGCGTGGACGGCGTGGACGCCTTGGCTTATCGCAATCTCGGCGGCATCGGCGGCCTCTCTGTCATGGGAACGCGCCCTCTGAAGCCGAGCCGGCCTGTCTCACGCGACCCCCACTTGTTCGCGCCCTGTCCCGGGCTTGTCCCCGCACACCCGAAAATTGAGACAAGGTCCTCGCAGACCATCATCGCACTCTTCCGGCTGGGGTAGGGAGAGGGCCTTCCCGTGCGCCGAAAGGATCAGGACCAGAACGGAAGACTCCTTGAACGGGATTGCCGGGTTCCTAGGCGAGCAGGAGGGGTTGACGCCCCCGCACCAGCCCAAATGCTCAGCAAGTTCATACTGACACGGGCGTCTGCGAAAGCAACATCAACGGCGCGCGATTCGAAACTGAGCCGCCCATAAGCTGCCGGCTTCCCAGGGCAGACCTGGCGGGCGTAGCCTCGGTCGAGCGACGGCGTGGGACCATTCTCACGGGTGCTGGTGCCGGCCGGCCGCCACGCCCCGCCACGCTCCGCCTCGCCGTCCAGCAACCTGTGCTTCCGGCCTGACGCGCCCCACTGCTCTGCGCCTCGCCTCGCCCTCGCCGCGCGCTCTGGGGCGACACGCGCGTTCAAGTCTCCGCCACCCCCGGCCCAGCCGTTGCCACACGGCACACGTGGGCCATTGCCGCCATGGCGCAACGCGGCGCGAAGCAAGGCGCGCTGGGCGTCGTCGTCGTGTCTATTCTGGAGCCCGGCCCGCAGGCTGCATCCGAACAGCCCTCTCTGTCCCACGCGTGTGGCGTGCCGTGGGCGTGCCGTAGGGGTGCGAGAGGGACAAAGCCATGCTGGCTATTCCCGGCGGTTGAGCTGCGGGTCGGGCCTTCCCTCGGCCACGTGCGTGTGGAGAAAGGAACCTCATGGACCGAGAAAAAAGGAGGAAGTCTTTGTGGTGGACAGGTCGACGCACTACTCTGAATAGCCTCGGACAGACCAAAAAAGCTTCCCGGAGAAATTGCGGCATGTGTTGGTCGGAAAACAAAATGTGTCCTTCAAGTGCCTTACGTTTTCTCCGCTTCAAGAATAATTTAGTGAAACCAGCGTACATCGATACCTACAAATAAATACAACGGTGTTCGATTTTTAATCACCCTGGTGCAACTCTTTGTAAAATGAATTCGATGTGCTTGGAGTGAAGGGGCTTTGGCAAGTGGCAGGCCCGGGCTGCCTTGCTCGCCCTTCCCTCTGTGCACGTGTAGCGGCTTGGTGCGACCTCCGGCCTTGCGGTTGCAAAAGAATCTCCATAAAAAAGATAGACCTATTATCGCGCGCACGGCACTGGCGGACCGGAAGCGAGGCACGTCCTAAAAAATGTCACGTGCACGCTGGTGCGGGCAGCCTGGAGCGAGCGTTGGCTGGACGCACGCGCCGTCCAGGTCCCGAAGTCCGTCCCGGTGGACCTCCGCGAAGCGCCAAGCACACATAACAGCCGTCGCGGTGGGCGGGCAGGCGGCGCGACGCGGCGACGGCGCAAAGCCGGTAGCGTGCCAAATCGGACGTCATTAAGCGACTGGCCGGCAGCTCATCACCGTGCCGCCCGTGACCGCCGGGGACGCCGAGGACGCCACCTTACGCGATTAGAGGATGCAGGAGCATAAAGTGCGGGATTACGCGCAGACCCTCGGCGGCGACGCTTTCGGGCGTGGTGGACTCGACCGCCTTCGAGAGGGCCTCCATCCCTCCTTCGTGAGGACCTCCTCGGCGAAGGCCGGACGGCGCAGTGACCAGCACGCGTGCCACAGCCCTCGGGGTGGTGAGGTCCAGTGCCGTGCCCAGAGTGCCCGGCCCAGGGACCAGGGAGGGACCCGGGACCACCCACTCGATATCACTAAGGACCTTTTTATTGGCCGCCCACAGGCTGTGTGAGGCCCTCGCCGTGGCAAGCCGGGCCAGCCCCTTTCCTCGGTCCAAATGAGACGGGGGCTTTGCGAACGGTAATCCTTTGCGTTGCCATGGGGACGGCGCGCTGCTGCAGGCGGCAGTTCCCATGGCGCTGCTCTGGAGCAGCGCTGGAGCAGCGGCATGGCACTTTGAATAACTGAGAGGCCGCGCCGCCCGTATAAATGCACCGCGAATGCACTCTGTGAATGCCGAATGTTTCAACCGAAATGTTTTACTCGCCCCCAGTCGGGGACAATCGGCCCGCTCCACTGCGCTTTGCTATCGATCCACTTGAGGCCAACCCTTTCGCTCTCATAGGGGTGCAGGAAGGGCTGTCGCGAGCGGTTGGCTCTCGGCTTGGCTCTCGGCTTGGCTCTCGGCCCGCAGCCACGCACTGGAAAGCTCACCACGCACGGAAACCCCTTCGACCAGACAGCGACGTTTCACCGCCGAACGAAATGTTATTTCATTATTCCTCGTTTTTCGCGCTGTAAACTTATTTATATGAAGATGTTCAAAAGTGCAAGACCAACATAAAAATGTGTGTCATCCAGGACCCTAAACTAAATCTGTCTAGGTCACCGTTACTACCGTCGCACGAGTTGCTTAGGGCGAATTGTGTGTTTATTTGTGTATGCATGTCATTGTGTGTGTGTGCGTGTGTGTTGTATATGTGTGTGTGTGTGTGTGTTGTGCGTGAGCGCGGGTTGCGGTGACTCAATTAGAGAACAGCCTCCTCAACCCTTTCTGCCGTTCTATTCCAGCGTTTTAGCCCTTTGTATCAAGATCCCGCGCGGGCTTTTTTTTTCTCACAGCACCCTCCCTTGGCCTGGGCTACCTGTAGCGCTTTGGTCCGGTAAACATATCACTCAATGCATTGGCACGGCTTTGTACTGCCGTCGCGGCCGCGGCTATATTAGGAGGCGATCGGCCGTGCATGAGGGTGAGTCACGCGCAATCGCGATCGGCGGCCGACTTTCCTCCACCGTCCGAAACTCGGCACCCGGCCGACGCTCCAGGCTTTTCCACGCGCTTTCCGATGGCGGGGGTCCGCCAGCGCCCCTGTTGTCACTCGAGCCGGAAATGCCTCATTGTCTCCGTATTTGACTCGTGTTTGGGCTGGCGAGTCCCTTTCCTGTCCTGCCGGCCACAGCCCTCGACACCTCTGTGTGCGGTCTTGTATAGCTACGTAGCCCGGCCCGGTGGGTCATCTGTCGCAAGGGGGACTTTAGGCCCCTCTCTCTTCTGGGGGTTAGAAGCCCCCTTGGACCAAAGCCCTCTTCGTGCCGGTACTGCATGACCCTGACGCCTAGACCTCTGAGGACGTTTGGCCTTACTATGTCGTAACTCATTGTACTAACTTCCTCTTCAATATGTATGTTCCTTTCTTGAGTAATGTGTTTTATTTCAAATCGTAGTGAACATTGTCGCTTTTGTCTGTTTCGTAACGGCTGGGTCGCACGGCCATAGGCGGCCACAGGCGCAGTGTTTGGATCCTGACGGGAGCCCTGCCCCGCGCTGCCTACGCTGCTCCAGCCCAGCACGTTGTTCACACGCGAGCTGGAGGCGATCGAGCACAGCCCCCCGGAGCAGGCCACACACACTAACCCCACATGCCAGAGGCGTGCGAAAGGGGAGGCGCAGTGGGCCGAGACATTAATCGATTTCGGTGAAAATTGAAAATACCTCATTAGATGTAACGCGCGAAAGTAATAACTCGGGAGTGTTTCAATTAGGATGCGCCCTGGCAGGCCAGCTCCAGGGCGGCCGGACTGGTCAGCGGGTCAGCGCTGCAGCAATCACCATTACGATCGGGGGTCGCGAGGCGCACCGAGGCCCAGCGAGGCTGACCCGGGCTCGACCCCGCAACGCGGCGTGAAATGGAGGCATGCTCCCGAACGCTCGGCCCGAAGCACCGAGGCACACCTACTCGGCAACACTCGCCAACGGCCAAGAGGTCCTTCGGGCCCCTTCGGGTCTCGACCACTCAATCCACGCAATCCAAGGTGACAGCAGATACCATCGAGGACTACATCATTCGTTCCCAGAGAATGCACCGGCCGCGTGGCGGGCGCACGTAGCGTAATGCCCCAGGTGGACAGCGCTAGCGCGTGCGACGCGTCGCGCTGCGGCATGTGTCGCCGGCAAACTTTTGCCTTCCAGTTGGCCACTCTGCGGACCGCCCCGCGACTCGCCCTCGTGTCCTTGGCAATAAATTAAGCTAAGCCTTTGCCCTGGGACAGCCCTGGGTGCCCTGCCCGCCCTGCCCGACGGACAGCCGTTCCGGTCCGATTCGCGCTCCAGCGGGCTTCGGCCGTCATAACATGGAGCCTTCCTGAGACGAATGATGTCCGAGCCGGGCTACTGCTAGTCCGGCCGACCGGGCAGGCCTCGCGGCCAACTCGCATTCCGGCCGCCCTTTCGCGGACCTCGTGTACGCCGTACATCAACGTGGCGGGGTAGTCCGCCCCAAACCGCGCCGTGCCGCGCCACACCGCCGCGGGCAAGCACGTCGCTAAGTTATTGCCGGTAATATGACGAACTGCGGCGCCAAAGGCAGCCAAAGGCAGCGAATGGGGCCCAATGGGGCCCAATGGGGCGTATCAATGTGGGTGATCGAAGGCCTCGCGGCCGGAAAGAAGATCCGCCATAAACTTGGCGGACAGG